GTAGAAAGTGATGTGGATTCAGTGAATTCAGCAGCATGGATCAGTGTGAGGACAGAGAGGAGGGAGTCTCTTCCTCTAAAACCACTCAGAGGTGAGAGGACATCTCTACCTGTCCATGACTCTTCTCCATGTCTCACCTCAGCATCAACGCTCTGACTGTATTCACAGGAACAGACCTGAACCTGGACATGGACCTGAACCTGAACCCAGCTGTGTGTCCTTTAAGAGTGACCAGTCAAAAAATTATTTTATTGAATTTAAACCCAACCAACCTTTAACATCAACAAGGTGAGCTGGATCTAAATGTTATGACTGTATAAAATATAACAGCTGTCAGCATCCTCTGAGTCAGAGACATTATTGTTACTAATCAATCATCAACTCATTAGGAACTGAATAATAAAAATTATTTGTTTTGAACTAACTTCATCTAATTAAGCCCATTTTTTGTCCAGTAGGACCTCATATACGGAATTTTAGTTTTTTTAATGTTTGTCTTACAGTTAAAATATAAAATAAAATTAAAGCTGCAGAAATTCATAAATTTATCTTTAATTCAAATATTCTTCTTTCAGGAACCAGAAGAACCTCAAACCTGGACCCAGCTGTGTGTCCTTCAAGAGCGACTGGTCAAAGGGTCTTGATTTTGAATTTAAATCCTGGGAGCCTCCATCAGCAGAGAGGTGAGCTGTATCTAAATGTTGGGTCAAATGTAACTGAGTCAGACTAAATGTTTGATTCAACGTGTCTTTAATGTCAGCTCAGCTCTTTTTCACACATTCAGATGTGAAGCCGTGTGAGTTGGATGTTTTCTACAAACTCAACAGTCAAAGAACGGATGTTGTAGGAGGAGTTTGAGAGTCTGTAGGTCACCAGTTGGTCCAGCAGGTGTTACCTTTGACCTTTGATTAAACACAGTGTAGGAACTTCCACTCAGGTGGCAGGTGTTGCTGGATGGAGGACAAAGAGGTTTTGGATCAGGACTCCATGTGGACCTTTAAATTGTGTTTGTCTCTGTGTGGACAGACAGAAGGGGAATTATTTTTTCATGATTCCTCCACAGAGTGGACCAGCATAGCTCAGAGGTCACCAGTCCTCAGTCTGCCCAGCAGCATCAGACCCAGCTGGACTCCATATTTATGGTGAGTACGTGTCCGACAAGTCTTTCATCTGCTGTGTCCACAGTTATCTCCATGCTGTACTTTGTAGACCAGTGGACAGTCTGTCCAACATTGATCTCATGTCTCATTCAGATATTATTCTGTTCCAGCTGCTGGAGGACAACATGGTCACTTTTGTGAAGAACGAGCTGAAGAATATCCAGAAAGTTCTGAGTCCAGATTACCCAGAATGCTTAGAGAGTCAGAGGGAGGATGAGGAGGTGTTGGAAGGTGAGGAAGAAGAGCAGAGGAGGAGCAAAGAGGCACTGATGAAGATCACAGTTTACTTCCTGAGGAGGATGAAGCAGGAGGAGCTGGYTGACCTTCTGCAGAGCAGTAAGAGGATTTATACAAACATCTAACCTGATGGAGAAATGAAGGA